TGATGATGATATCGTGCCATGATGTTCTACAGTCATATAAAATCCACTACACAATGATGATGGTTGTGGTGATGATACATGATGATGATATCGTGACATGTTCTACGGTCATAAAATCCACTGCACAACGATGATGGTTGTGGTGATGATACATGATGATGATTTATCTGGTGATACATGATGGTAACGATGATGATGATGCATGATGATGATGATGCATGATGATGATATTGTCGATGATGACGATGGATTATAGTGATGATGATGCGTGATGATACTTGATGATGATGATGCATTATGATGATGATGATGGATTATGGTGGTGATGATGATACATAATGGTGATGTTGATGTTGATGCATTAAAGTGATGATGATGATACATAATAATGATAATATAAGATGGTGATGGTGACGCATGATGATGATGATGATACATGATGGTGATGTTGATGATGCATTATGGTGATGATGATGATACATGATGTTGATACGTGATGTTGATGATAATACATGATTGTGATGATGATGATACATGTTGATGATACGTGATTTTGATGATGATGATACATGATTGTGATGATGACACGTGATGTTGATGATGATGATACATGATTGTGATGATGATGATACGTGATGTTGATGAGGTCTTTACTTCATTTGTCCTGCTTAACAATATCTATTTACCTTCTATTTGAATGGACAAAAAGAAAGAAGAGTAAGCCTCCACCAGACGTGATCCAAATATCTTCCAAGTCTCGACTGAGTGGATGGTCAAAACCGAAACCCAAAGCAAAAACCCAACAAGATTTAGACTCTTCCGATCGTGACACAGGTAAGCAGTTTAAATCGTATCTGAAGCACCCTCTTGGAGGTATTCCGAGAACTTACTCAGACCCTTGCCTTAACAACCAAGACGTCCTCAACAACTACCAGGCTCAGAGGAAGAGATCTGGGACTAGCAGCGCACCGCTGAGCAGTGCGAGTAGCTCATCTGAAAGTGATTCGAGTGATGACGATAAACCAACCGACCAATCAGAAGAACTATTGGCTATGCGAATGCATCAAAATAGATTAGAGATGGTGTTGCAGGAAAAACTAAAACCTGCGAGAAAGTTAGAATGTAGGAGCGAAGAGACTCTCATGGTCACCAAGGATACCGATGGCGAGAAGGAAGGCCAGGTCACAAAGGAATTGGCTGTTGCCAAGTTTACTGAAAACGAAGGTGAGGGACTGGTAGCTGAAGAAAAAACGGTTGCCAAAGATACTGCGAGTGAAGAGGAATGTCTAGTTATTAAAGAGTCGGCTGTTGCTAAGAATACAGAAGCAAGAGTAAATCTAGGTGGAGATAACGATAATGGGGCTAACGAATCCACTTCTGAGGTAACAAGTGAACATGTGACTGAGGTAGAATGCTCTGGTTCACCAGACACGGAAACACAGGCCGCTATTTGTAATGATACGTCTAGTGATCAAGAGGTTCAAGGTTCAAAGACTGATGCGAGTAGTGAGGGATCGAAAACTACAATTGAACTGGAAAATCAGTTGCAAGGAGGAGAAATTCCTAAACCAATCGAGGTAAATGGAGAAGTTAGTGAAGGATTTCAAACTACGAATAATCCAGAAGAAACAAGCGAAAAGGAAGTGGATATTTCCACAGGAGAAAACGATATTGACCTAGATAATATTTCTGAAATTAAAGAGTCATATTATGAAAGCAAAAAGAAACTAAGGAATGAGAACATTTTGGGCTTTTCAATGGAAGAAAGCATGATGAACTTGAATGCCCAAGACGAATCAGAAGTAAGTCCGAGTCCCACGGTAAACCTCGGCCTGGGCGGCAGCTTCCGGTCGATGGCCGTGAGTTTCAGGAGTAAATCATCCGGCCAAGATAATACCGAGACAAGCCCAGCTGAGTCTAATGGGGAAAGATTACCAGAAGGGGAGGAACCCTCCCAGCAAGGGTTTAATAGATTTCGTTTTTCAGGTCGTTCACTTGGGGGTCGTCCTACAAGTACTACAACTTCCAATAAAACAAATATATTTGCTTCTGCGCAGGCGCGAGGCCGGACCTTGTTGCCTGACTTGCGCAATAAGCTCTCATCGATTTCATTCCCTCGTGCTAAGTCCCCTCGCTTGACGCACAAGCAGCCTCATACAGTAGACCCTGATTCTGTTCACCCGCACAGGCGACACAAACACAAGCATAAGTGTCTCACTAAGATCATAGAACTCTAATAGACGTATGCGTGCGTCTGGCTGTCCATTCGTATGCCAAATGTGTCGTACGATATGTTAGAAAAAAAGATAACATCGAATCAATGATACGCATCGTGCGCGATTAAAAAGAGATTGTGTTCTAAGTCGTATGTGACAAATCGTAAAGAGAGATTGTCGATACGACTTGACACATTTGTCGTTTAAGAACCGCGCTTAACGGAAAGGAATGGTTACTCTCCCATCATAATGAACACGAGACGAACGGTGAATTGTTTCTTGTTCTGTTGATTTTAAGACATCGCAGTGTCTTCTATCATCTCGACGGATGTTATAAGATGCTTTCTGTTCTCCTTTTCAACTTTTCTGTTCAGTTTAGTTTTGTTCGTAAATATGTAACTAACCGTTCGTCTCCTTTTGTCGTTCATTATTATAATTATTCAATATAGCAGAGGAATCGTGAAGGAGACTATTCGACCATTCGTTGGATGACAATGTCTCATGCGCTGCCGTTGAGGAATCGTGCTGGAATTCATAACGCGTTGCGCAAAGAAAACAAGTATCATGCATGCGATGTATTAAGTCTTATTACCCAGTCAAACCGCAAGGTATGATACCACCTTGATACCCTTGGCGCAATTATATACGATTTCCTTCTATAAAACGGTGCCGTTGGTCTACCAGATAATTAGTTATCCCCAAAAATGCCGCTAAAGTATCCCCAAGTCAAAAATTCTGCATGTATCAAAAATAGAAACCAAGCTTATTATACTCCTACGTGCTTTTCGGCTCCTGCCCGCGGTTATTATGTACGTGCAGCTTATCCATCAGATATTATTACATGATAAACAGTGTTTTAGCAAAGTATCGGCGCGAAAAACGTCAGAGGTGATAATAAGTTTTAGTTCGTGCGTTTTGCCTAAATCAAGCAGACACGAAAATCGCTATCGGTTAAATGATCTGTAGTTAAGTTAATGACTTAAAGACATTTGATTTCCTATTGACTCCAGCGGATTATTGGAGACCCGATCACGTCCTTAAATATCGCTATCTTTGATGTTTTACTCTCTTCATTTCGATAAGACGTTTTAGAAGACGTTTTAGGAGATCTTATCTTTCGCAAATGATAGCACTCAGAATTCGGACGACGTTTCTTGAAGGGTGCAAGACAGAGATATCTTATTTAAAAGCAAAACAGGAATTGGTGAAATTTATTGTCTTGTCGTTTAGTCATATCTTTAAACAAACTCCTCGAGTGGTAAAAAAAGCATTTATGAAGGATTTTAGTTCATGCGCATGCGCAAGTTTTACTCGGTCAAACGTTGCTAATAAAATATCTCATTCATTGATTTTGTTATTCTCCTCCGCAGCTATCATTAGTTTCGGTCCCAGATCCTCTCGGGACCGTGAGGATCTGGGAGCAAAACTCATGACGGGTGCAGAGACCATGAGTTTGTGTAAATAGCGCTGCGCAGCCGTGACGTCATAAAAACGAAGACAAAGGCGAAATTCGGACAAACAAGCTTACTTTCAGCAGATAATTTTCACAGCCGATCGCAGTTGATCTTAAATTACATGGGTTATTATTGTAACTTTAAGTAAAAATAATAAAATCGGTTCGTATAATCCTCGTAGCGGTTAAATAAAATGCAATGTTTGTCCGAATCTTTAAGCTATTTTTAGAATCAGTGCGCTGCGCTATTAATACAATACTCTAGAACTTTTAATACTCAAGAAAACATTGGAGTCGCACGCATGGTAAAGAATTGTTTTGTTAACGTTTGAGTTTCTCTAGTGTATTTAAACGAAATTTTTACGAATTATTATTAAGTACTATAGTTCATTTTATAGATGGTTTTTGCGACAAGCTTACTGGGTCTGGCACCTTAACTTTCGCATAAAACTCTATGCCATATTGAAAAAAGCGTCAGGCTGAAAAGATTAAAGCAAAAACCGAGGGGTATACTGGGTGGTATATATCCTTGAAGAGTGCTTGCACGCAAACAAGTGCATGAAGAGGGACAAAATACTTTGTTCGGTAACATGAACTTTCGTTCAATCAATGTAATATTAGGCTCATTAGTATATGTAAAAGGACTCCATGCTGTCCAATTAAGAAATAATTGGACGAAGAAAATTCCGAGGACTGACAAAATTGGATGAGGCCGTAGGCCGAGTCCAATTTGGCAGTCGGAGGAATTTTTCGAGTCTAATTATTTCTTGATTGGGGAGCATGAAATCCCATTACCTATTAATTATATAGCTGCGTAATTAATCCCATATCAACAAGACCTGTCCAATTAAGAAAATAATTGGACAGTTACTATATGGGATTATTGAGAAGCTGTATAATTAACAGATTAACAGTTGGGACAGAACACCTTTCGATCTTAGCTTTTATGATTTTTCCTTTTCAACCTGATGACGCTTTTTTTCTTCTAAATTTGGTGTAAACAAAAATGAGTACACAATGAAAAAGGCTTCTGCGCCTCCAGTAAATCTATTTATGCAAGGCAAAATATTTGGATAGTCACGCTCAAATCAAAATTTAATTTAATTCTGATGAATTTAAACTTAAATGCATGCAAGTTTACTTTAATCACCTGTTCAGTTTTATTCCTTGTCCTTCTCCTCGGGGGCAATATCTCTAGGCTGTGTAGCGGCCCAAAAGGAATACAAGGGCGTAGCCAGGGGGTCAAAAGGGTCAGGGCAACCTCATTCGTGGCAACAAAATGGCAGCTTTTTTAGTTTTTATACGGTAATTTCATTTTTATTTTTTATTTTATATAAATGAAACGTAAAATGTAATGCCGGTTTTCATTACTGTGAAAAGAAAACGTAAGGCCGGTTCCCTTCTTTGGGTTCGGCGTTTCGGGACGCAAACAAAATGGCGGATTTTTAAATTAAATTGGGGGTCAACCCCCCTTCCTCCCCCCCCCTCCTCCCCACCTTCGGAAAACTCTGGATATGCCCCGGAGGATAGGAATTGGGATGAGCTGCTACGCAGGCTATGTCTTTTTCTCCCTGTGGATTTTGGCTTTCTTATCGTGAGGTAGCAATTCGGTTGTATTTAGTGCAAGGGAAAGACTATCAGTTTCATAAATATATTTTTGTTGGTTGAATATTAGTTTTATTTAAATGTACTTTTTATCGAAAGACTAGAATGACAAAAACCACAGGGTGCCCAATTTTGGAAACGTTTATGCACAGATAATTAAGATAAAGAAGAGTAGCCTGTTTCTTGGACAAATTAAAATTGCAGCTTACGACTGCTGAACGCTAATAATTTTATTTTCTATTTCTAACTTTGTGCAATTTACAAACTGGGTTCCCTGTGGTACTTTGTAAAGTCTTGTATTTTGTTACTTGAAAACATTCATGTTCCCAGAGCCTGCGCTATTGCCAACCTATTGCCAAGCAATAGCGCTTGAAACTGACTGGATCCTTGTGTTTCTTAAATGTTTGGGCTTAGATGATTTTAGGTCATTATTCAACTTCCAAGCTACCAAATTCAACGAAAGGCCCTCAATTATTTAGTTATTATCAGAATAATATGGATCAATAAATAAAGAATCAATAACTCGGTCTTGTTTGTATCATATACGAGCATTCTCAAATATTTTAAATGTATATTGATTTGAAAAAATTGTGTTTATTAGATGATGATAAAAATAAAAACCATTAAAGTTACTGTAAATAACTGCTAGGTGAAGTAACTCCTATTTTTAATCAGATTTTTCACATTTCAGTTTCTAATTTTGGTCTAAATATAACTCACGGACTCATCTTCTATTATATCATAGCCGTAGTCCCTCTAAATCTCTTTCACCTGCCTCTGACTAATTACAAAAAAAGATTCTATGAGCGGGAAACCAGGTGATCTCTTTCTGAAAAAGAATCAATCCCTAACATGACCGCGCGCCTAGAGTCCTGAAGAAAAACATTGCCGTCGAGGACGCCATTTTGTTTTGAGTTGGATTTGAATATGTATTCTCTTGAAATGTAGTGCGAAATATTGGCGAAAAGAAGTCATAGCTGCACATTTGAAGTCTATAGTATAATGTTTCAAGTTATGTACAAGAAAAACTTTACAAGAAAAGCTTATTTTATTGAGTGGTTTATCCGTTTTTTGTAATTCGTATAGCCAACAAAGTTAACCTTATGAAGTTTTTTGTTTCGAAAATGATTGAAAACTTGATATGCTCAAATTGCTATTTAGTAGTAACGTGTATGTGCGTATATTAATATTTTTAATAACAATAAACCTTTTTTGATTTAAAAATGTGTTGTATTTACGTGCTATTCTTACATGTGTTATGTTCTTGATTGATTACCGATCCACACATCTTGTTTTTTCTGCTTCTCGAGGCGCGCAAAGGTCTATTGGTATTGATTCTTTTTCAGCAAACGCGATTCGCAATCTGATTGGCTGATCGATTTCCGTCAGATCACCTCTGAAAGTATCCTCAAATCGAACATCCCTCTATGGACCAATCAAAATGCAAAAAAAAGATAAGCCGTCCAATCAAATGCGGAAGCCAATTGAGAGGCAATACGAAATTCACCCCTTAAAAACAGGTAGCCTTAGAAGTCATTATCCAGCTTTTTTTTTGTCTTCTTAACACCTTGAGTTATTTTTGTTCGCACTTTCCTCAAAATTAAGGAAGTCGTAAACCAAAAATCAACTTCTAAATTCCAATTGGAATTACAGTGGATGAAGAGCCACTCTGTACTTATTTTGTTTTATTTTAATTTTTTATTTAAAACCATTTAAGACGCTGGCTAAATTACATCAACGAATTTGTTTGACTTTGATACCATATCTTTGCTCAAAAAACTGTCTCTGATTTCTAAAGTCAACAAATAAGGCTGACATTCGCGAAACTCTGCGATACAATCTTCATCACCATGGTAACAGAGTTACTTGCTCAGTATGTTATCAGCAAGTTTGATAAATTACTTTTCAACGCTATTTTATTTTTCCTAACCGGAACATTTGATCTTTTTTTACGGCCTAAAGTGTTTGATGTTATGTTAGTAGAACTCTTTTCAGTGTGTATATGTCTTAATTCGTGGCTAAAATTGGTAAACACTTGCTAAAGAAAAGCACTTATCGAAGTTGAGTGATTTTGATCAAAACACTGCACTAAGAAGAGTAAACAGCATTTGATCTTGAACGCATAATACACGAATAGCGTCACAGATAAGTCAGACAGAGGGAGACTTGTTTGATAACTCTTGATAAATACGACGAAATTCATAATCTTGGTAATTGGAATTCTCTTGTACGGGTTTAAATTCTACAATCAAGTTACAAAATTTTTCGAGGTTTTTTATTGTTTTATTCAAGTTCTGCCATCCGTTCTCGTGATTTGATTGGCCTAATAATAGGTCACGTGGCCCTACCTCCTGTAATAGGAGCAGTTGTGTCAAAATTAACACCAGGAATGAAAAGAGCAGCTCGATATTAGTAAGAAGGATATATTTGTATTTTATCCCGTGGGTAAATTTCTGCAATTTATTTCCCATTCTCAACTTTTTAAAGAAGTAAGTATGACTTCAGTTATTGGTTAGTGTGCTGCCTGCTAAGCAAGAGGTCCATAGTTTGATCCTCAGTGACGCCACAGTTTTTTTAAGAGCAAGTGTGGCTTGATTTCTAAGGTGTGCTTCTTGCTTAGCAAGAGGTCCATTCACCATTTTCCATACATCGGTTTACTGGTCAAATACAAAGCATTCAGTCGAGGTTGCGAGGTCCAAATTTGAATAATCCTTTGAAAGTACCTTGGCGCCTCACTTGACCGCTTTCTGTTTGAACAGTAAACCAATGTATGGAAAATGGTGAATAGTTTGATCCTCAGTGACCTCACACACTTTTTTTAAGTAGCAAGTGTGGCTTGGTTGGTTAGTGTGCTGCCTACTTAGCAAGAGGTCCATAGTTTAATCTTCAGTGTCCTTACACTTTTTTTAAGGAGCAAGTGTGGCTTGGTTGGTTAGTGTGCTGCCTACTAAGCAAGAGGTCCATAGTTTAATTCTCAGTGACCTCACACACTTTTTTTAAGGAGCAAGTGTGGCTTGGTTGGTTAGTCATTGACTGACAGCACACTCGTATATGATCCTGACTTTTCGCTTATCAAAATAGCACGCCGATAGCTTAGTTTTACATCTCCTCACAGAGACTCGTTGAAAATATTGTTTGTCTTTTGTCTTTTTTCCT